TTCAAAACAAAGGGGAAAAAGACATTTTAAACTCCAATTAATTGAAAAATAATAATCTCGAAGTTTATTTAACTCAGATTGTCTTTAAAGAGAAGTTTAAATCCTTCAAAAAAAGAAAAATCGAAAGAGTTCACAACGTGCACTTTTCTGGTGTCTGTACGTTTTTGCACTTGTGCCATTTCGCTGTTTTCCAAATTTTGTTTTTATTTCGAATTTCTAATTTATTTATTTATTTATTTATTTGCTTCATTTATTTATTTATTTATTTATTTATTTATTTAATTTCATTTATTTATTTATTTCATTTACTCCAAGAAGATGAGAAATTGAAGAGACGAAAAATTGGCGTTTTGGACTCTGTAGATGCGCTTGTGTACAGACACTCCAATCTGCTGCTGCTGCAGCAGCAGCAGCTGCTTCTGCTGCTGCAGTTGGTGCAGCTGATGCAGCAGGAGTTGGCTCCGGCTCTTTTGCTTCTGCTGTTTCTCAAGAACGCAGTGGACCACTGGGGGTCCACTGGTCACTTGTGGGCGACAGGGTTTTCTTCAGGAAGCCGCAGCAGCAGCAGCAGCAGCAGCAGCAGCACTGCTCCTTCCACGCCACTCAAGTTGCCTCCCACCTCATCGGTCAGCACTTGCCTTGCTGCTGCTGCTGCGCCTGCTGCTGTTGCTGCTGCTGCTGCTGCTGAGGTTGCTTTTACTGCGTCACTGGGAGCCAGCGCTGCTGTTGCTGCTGCAGCTGCAGCTGCTGCAGCTGCTGCTGCAGCGCCTTCTCTTGCTGCTGAAGCGCTCTCTCTTGCTGCTGCAGTGTCGTCTACTCGCGTTGCAGTTTCAATGCGTCTGCGCTTTGCCGCTGCTGCCGTTGCTGCTGCTGCTGCTAATATTTCTACTGCTGCTGCTGCTGCTGCACAGGGTACGCCACTGAGCTGGAGAGGATCGTTTGAGGCAATTGCAGTCTGCCCCATGTGAAGCACCCTAAAGCAGCAGCAGCAACAGCAGCAGCAGCAGCAGCAGCAGCAATTAGTAACGAGCCTGATAAGGCCTTATGCTTGCTGCTTGCACTATTTAGCTAATGAAGGGGCCCCCTGAGGTGTTGGGGGGCCCCTTTCTTGCTGCAGCTAGGAGAGGCTTTGCTGCTGCTTCTGTCTGGCTGTGCAGTGGCAGCAGCAGCAGCTGCCGCTGGTGCTGCTGCTGCAGCAGTATCACCTGGAGCTGCAGCAGCTCCATATGCTGCAGCAGCTACAGCAGCAGCACGTGCAGCAGCAGTATCGACTACGCCTGCAGCAGCTCCGCGAGCCGCAGCAGCGCTTGTAGCTGCAGTGTCATCTGCAGCTGCTGCAACTCTAACAGCTGCGCAAGCAGCATCAGCTGCTGCAGCAGCTGCTGCAGTTTCACAAGCAGCAGCAGCAGCTGCAGCAGCAGCAGCAGCTGCAGCAGCTGCAGCAGGCCATGCGAACAATAGGCGCATGGAAAGAAAGAGCGAAGCGGGGGTTAGTGGTGATGAACAAAGTTGGAAAAGGCTTTTTAGATTAAAAAGACTTTATGAAAGAAAATAAAAATAAAAAATCAAAAAAGAAATAAATGTTTATTTGAGTTTGCTGCAGAAGAGCGGCTAGGGTGTTGCTGTAGGTGCTGCTGCAGCGCTGCTGCAGCGCAAATGGGCGAAAAGTGGTCCTCTAAGTGCGGAAAAAAGCGGAATTAAAAGAATAAATGCAAATATAAATGAGAAAATAGTTTTAATTTGAATCTAAACTCAAAAACAAACAAAAACGGACCGAAAAGTCCCAACAGTTTCGAAAATTACGCGGAAACGCATGCAGAAACGCGTTCGAAACCTGCGCCGGCAGTGCAAGCTGCAACAAAAGGACATTTTAGATGAATTTCTTTCAAAACAAAGGGGAAAAAGACATTTTAAACTCCAATTAATTGAAAAATAATAATCTCGAAGTTTATTTAACTCAGATTGTCTTTAAAGAGAAGTTTAAATCCTTCAAAAAAAGAAAAATCGAAAGAGTTCACAACGTGCACTTTTCTGGTGTCTGTACGTTTTTGCACTTGTGCCATTTCGCTGTTTTCCAAATTTTGTTTTTATTTCGAATTTCTAATTTATTTATTTATTTATTTATTTGCTTCATTTATTTATTTATTTATTTATTTATTTATTTAATTTCATTTATTTATTTATTTCATTTACTCCAAGAAGATGAGAAATTGAAGAGACGAAAAATTGGCGTTTTGGACTCTGTAGATGCGCTTGTGTACAGACACTCCAATCTGCTGCTGCTGCAGCAGCAGCAGCTGCTTCTGCTGCTGCAGTTGGTGCAGCTGATGCTGCAGCTGCTGTTGGTGCAGCTGCTGCGGCTGCTGCTGCTGCAGCTGCTGCGGCCGCTGCTGCTGCGGCTGCTGCTACAACTGCAGCAGCTGCTGCAGTCGCTACTGCTGCAGCTGCAGCAGCTGCTGCAGCTGCAGCGAATTTAAGAAAGCAGCGAAGGGCAATTAATGAACAAATGAGAAGTATCAGCAATTGAAGCAAATAACATTTAACTGAATAAATAATTAAATTAATTTAAATTAATTTAAATTAATTTAAATTAATTTAAATTAATTAAAAACAATTTAAAACATTAAAGACTTGGATGGGCGTTGCAGCAAAACGGCCAAATGGGCAAAATGCATTTGAGCAGCAAAAGCGATTAATTGAATACAAAAAAGAAAGAAATAAAAACAAATAGTTCAAAATAAAATAAAAGATTTTTAAACGATAAAATGTAAACTTTAAATGCTTTAAATGCCACAAAAAAGGACCAGTGGTCTCTAGCCTCAGCTGCTGCTGCTGCTGCGCTGCAGTTGGGGTGTATCGTAGCTAAAGTTTGAATCTAAACAAAATGAAAAAAAACAAAACAAAAACATAAAACAAAAAATAAGAGAAAATAAACTTGAAAGCAGACGCAAGCAGCCCAGCAGCAAAAGAAACAGTCTCTTGCAACAGCAGCAGCAGTCTCCCTTTGTCGGGCCGTTTTTTTGCTGCAGCAGCAGCTGCAGCAGCAGTTGCAGCAGCAGCCGCAGCAGCAGCTGCAGCAGCAGCTGCTGCTCCAACTTGCAGCAGCAGCTAGCTGCAGCTGCAGCAGCCGAGCCAGCTGCAGCAGCAGCTGCTGCAACTCGCAGATGCTGCAGCAGCTGCAGCCAGCTACAGCAGCACCGGCTGGAACAGCGGAAGCAGCTGCTGCTGCACCAGCAGCAGCAGCACAGCAGCAGCAGCAGCAGCTGGCGCCGCGCCTCTATTCGAAAGTACCAAGACCCGCAGGCCGCCAGCTCTGGAAGCAAATATTAAAATCTTTTTATTTTTAATATCTTTTAAATCTCCTGAGTAGCTGGGGACCCACCAGGCAAATCCGCAGCAGGTCTTTTGCTGCTGCTGCTGCTGCTGCAGAAGCTGCTGCTGCTTCTGCGGGAGTTTTTGCGGTTGCAGAAGGTGTTGCTGATGCAAAAGCTGCTGCGACAGCAGCAGCAGCAGCTGCGAAAGCAGTATTCGCGGACGACAGGTCGCGCTGCAGCAGCAGCAGCTGCAGCAGCAGCTGCTGCTGCTTCTGCAGCGGACTACTGGAAGCCTGGGCATATAATCCCTGCAGCAGCAGCAGCGAGAGCTGCTGCTGCTGCTGCTGCAAAGCTCAGGTGTCTGTACACCTGGGCTTCCTTCTGACATATTATTAAACTTAAATTTGGCAGTTCAAATTCTGCCTGCTGCTGCAGGCCTTCTTGCTGCTTCAGTTGCTGCAGCAGCAGCAGCAGCTGCTGCTGCTGCTGCTGCTGCGCGTCCCACTTGGCCAGCGCCGTTTCCCTTCGGTGTCTGTACACTGCGGCTGCGGAGAGTCGCTGCTCGCCACCGATTTTGCTGCTGCTGCTGCTGCTGTTGCTGTTGCTGCTGCTGCTGGGATTCCTGCAGCAGCTGCCGGGGACTCTTCGTGCTGCCAGCAGCAGCTGCAGCAGCAGCAGCAACTGCTGCTGGCCTTCTCCCTGGGCCAGGCGCTTGCGCAGCTGAAGCTTCATCTCTTTCTGCTGCTGCTGCTCTTGAGTGCGCCGTGGGGGCAGCGCCGGCAGCAGCAGCAGCAGCAGCAGCAGCAGCAGCACCAGCCGGCCTCCGCGAAGCTGCGGAGAGAGGAGAAACTGATGCAGCCCTGCCTCTTCTTGCTGCTGTTGCTCCTGCTGTTGCCGTTGCTGCTGCTGCTGCAGCTGCTGGGGTCCTGGAGGGTAATGGACGAAGTGCTGGTGCTGCTGCCCGGCGCCGCAGGAGCGCAGCAGCAGCAGCAGCAGCTTGCTGCTGCGGCTCCTGTCCCTCCCTAGCAGCAGCTTCTCCCTCAAGACGTGCTGCAGCAGCAAAACCTGCTGCAGCTGCTGACGGCAGCACACAGTCAGCAGCTCTGCGTGCAGTCCTAGGCCGCGGCGTCGCCTTTTGCTGCTGCCGGGGTGCAGCAGCAGCAGCAGCAGCTGCTGCTGCTGCTACTGCAGGAGAAACGGGTGGGGAAAAGCCTGTAGTGCGGATGCAAGGGGCTCTGGGGAGATTGTGCGGCGTTGCTGCTGCTGCTGCTGCAGCACAGCGTCTTTGCTGCAGCGGCGAAGCACGAGTTGCTGCCGCCGGAGCAGCAACAGCAGCAGCAGCAGCACACTTTGCATCTGCTGCAGTGGGCGTGGACCGTGTGCTGCTGGCGTTGCTGGCAGCAGCTGATCTGCTGCCTCGTAGCAGCAGCGCGCGGCTCACTCCTGCTGCTGTTGCAGCAGCAGCAGCAACCAGGCGCAGCGCTCCTGCTCGCCTTTGCTGCACAGGCTGCTGTTCCTGCTGCTGC